AAAAAACAAGGGAGAAAGAAGAAATATGGCCCTTCTTCCTTTTGGTTTTTGTAAAACCCTTGAGCCACTAATCTGGCTTTAATTTTTCTCACAACATTTACATGTTCATTCAAGCTTATTTCTAAACCCCCAATTTGGTTCCATAACAGAATGGTTTTTTAGGTCTAGAAACAAGTTTCCCAAACTTGGTTTACTCAAATTGGATTAGCTTCTTCTTGCATAGCACGAATCCAACTTTCATCATTTTTGGAGCCATCTTCTAAATTTTTAGGTTCTAATTGAGAAACGAAAGCAACATTGACAAAAATATCTTCTAAGTTGAGCTCTAGTCAACCCTCAAAATCCTTCTCTGAAGGGGGTTAATCCATTATGTCTCTTGGGGATGATACTTATGAAAATCGCCAGTTCTTTTGGTAATTGACGAATCTTCATTTCCTGTTTCTGGCATTTGCGTTTCAACTATGCTTCTAATCTTCATGTTCTAATTCCGGTTCACCTGATATTGAATGTTCTAAAATTGCCTTTCTGGCCTGTTCTAGTTGTTCTGATTGCTCATTCTGCTTTCAGATTAGAATCTACAAGCATCATCAACTTCTAATGTTTCTAAGAAGTAGAGTCAGTTTTTTTCCATCAAACACAACAGAATAGATTTTCTACAACTACGAGTCTTTTTATTAAATACTTCTATATGCTTTACTATTATTAAAATATCCCAGAAAAATCTTCATAAGATTTAGCATCAAATTAGCAAGAATAATTTTCTTGTTATCTAAAATACAAGCATGTGCACCCAAAAATAATGAATAACATATTTGGCTTCTACCTTTTGTATAGCTCATTATGGAGTCTTTTTAAGATTAGATCTTACCAGCCCTGTTTAGAAATAACAGCATGTTAACTGCTTCTGCCCAGAAATACTTTGTAGATTAGAATCACTAGCATGGTTCTAAGCCCATCTCTTGAAGTGGTTCTATTCTTGCGTTCCAACCACTCCTGATTTTGTTGAGGTGTTCTGTAGGTGCCTGAGAAAGTTATGGAGATTCCTAACTCGTTGCAACAAAGCATGCGAATTTCTCTGGATTTTCAAATTCTCCTCCATGATCACTTTCTAATTGCGTGATGTTGTTAACCTTTCTCATTTCGTAATTCTCTGCAAAGATAAACAAACATGTTCAATAATAACTCATCTTATTTCTAAGGAAGAGTGTCAGGTGGAATCTTGAAGTAATCATGCTACAATAAACAAATGCTAGAATTCCTGCAAGACTAGAAGGAGTATTGGATCCAAAAATCAGGTGGTAGGCAATTCTAAAGGTCTAGAAGTAGAAACCTGCCCTTTGGGAGATTTAAAAGAAGTTCTGGT